AAGTTGTTACTTCTGTCTTAAGTCCCGCTTGAACCACTTTCACTGAGCAATTTTTGCTGCTACCTTTTCAAAGTTTTGACAAAAGTACTCTTGACTCTTAAAATTAGGTTCAAAACCAACTAAGAGTAAAGCTTGTAAACATGGGGAAAAAATAAAGTACTGCAACCAGTTATTCAAAAAATTAATTGTGCACTTCTGCTTCACTGGGTAAAAAGTTGATTGTTCAGATGTTTCACATCTCCATTAGTGACCTGGATGATGGATCAGAGTGCACCTCCCCAGCCTGCAGAGGACACAAAACCAGGAGGAGCTGTTACTGTGCCAGGTGCTTGTGGTGCCATTCCACAGATCTCACTGTGCTGGAGAAATGGGCAAACAAGAACCTCCAATTCAATAAAGAGAAATGTAAAGTCTTACACTTGAGAAAAAACAACCCTTTGGACCAGGACAAGTTGGAGACAAAGCCTGGGAAGCAGCTTTGCAGAACAGAGCCTGGGGTCCTGCTGGACAAATTGCCCATGACAGCACCCATGAGGCAAAGGCTACCAATGGCACCCCAGGCTGTGCTAGCAAAAACACTGCCAGGAGCTCAAGGAAGGTGATCCTTCCCCTCTGCTCTCAATGGAACTTAGACCCACCCAAAGTGCTGTGCCCAGTTCTGGCTCCCCCAGCCAAGAGAAACATGGGCACACTGGAATGAGTAAAGAGAGATCACTACCAGACTGGAGAATGGGAGGTGGGAAGAAGGGCTGGGAGGACTGGGATTGTTCAGCCCAGAGGAAGCCTTATCAAGGGGTGTGAATGAATGAATACCTGATGGGGACAACAAAGCAGATGGAGCCAGACTCCTCTCAGCAGTGCCCCATCAAAGTACAACAGGCAATGGGCACAAACTGAAATACAGAGAAATTCCTGTCAACAAAAGATGACATTCTTTTGGCACCACAACAGCAGTCAAACACTGGACTGGCTTTGCCAAGAGAGGCTGGAGTGTCCATCTCAGGAGACAACTGAGAACAGTCTGGCCACAGTGCTGAGCAACCTGCTCCAGCTGAGCCTGCTTGGAGGGCAGGATACTGGACTAGACTGTCTGCAGAGGTCCTGTCTAACCTCAGCTGCTCTGGACTCGGGACAGACACAACATGCACCTCATATAAACCCAGTCTCCTACATGTTCCCCTGTAACAATCCAAAAATTGCATTTCCATGAGAAATTAGTATCTTCTTAAATCTGCTGCCAGTATTTTCCCTAAGAAACCAAACAGTAGCTCTGAGAAGGCACTGACACGTCCTGTGCTTCTACAACTCTCCTGTTTCAACTTTTTTTAAAGCAGTAGCAGAGTAGCTAACCCAAAATTGCTTACCAGCAAACAGACCAGAATATTTTCAAAAGTGGCAATTTCTGCTTTTGGGTCTTCCATCTTCCATTTTTGGGGTCTTAGCCTATACAGCTTGCTATCACTTTAATAATTATTCATACTTTAAAGATATGGATGAATTATCCAGATTCCTGTCATCACTTGTTTATTATTTTCAGCAAAGAACTCCAATAACAATGTTTGCATTCATTCATTCATTTTCAAATTGTCAGCTTTCATCTTACATGCTCTCATCTGAGACTAACAGAATTCCCCATCAGTAGGATTTAAAAAAAAAAAAAAAAGAAAAAATTCCACAGTAGTTTGGAAGAAGAATAGCTGACAACCTTCTTGTCCTTGAGAAGGGACTGGAGGGAGCAGGGGGGAATATTCAAGAATTATTTTCTACACTTAAAGAGCTTCTGTAGATTCAGCTGAAGAAGTGTATTTACTTCCCCTGAGCTGAACTGCTGAAGTATTTCCACTCCAGCAGCAGCCACAATTTAGCTCTGGAGCAGGGATTTCCCTCTGCAGTCTGAAGCACTCTCTCACATGAAAAGCACTCTGTGGAACACACTGTAAATGTGGAACTATTACACAACTATTATCTAGTGATGCTGGCATGAGGAAGCTAGAGGGAGGAAACAGGAAGGATATTCAATACAAGTCTGCAATCTTTTATATTTTACTCACATAAGGGAAAATCACCAGTGTCCAGAGCTCCAAGAGATACATCTGAGCTACTGTGTTGGTGAATTTAAAAAAAACCAGTGGTACACATTCATTTTACACAGCATTTAAATGAACTGGAAATAAAAATTCAGATTCTTAGTCCCACAGAAACCTGTAGGCATCATCTGACTTCTAAAGACCAAAATGAGATTTCATATCAACTTACTTTAGTAGACTTTAGCCTTAGTGTTCATTTCTCCGTGTGCTTTTTCACCTCCACCAGTAAAATGTTTTGATATATGACTCACAGTTAAGAACATTTCAGAGGACACATTCAAAAGATTTGAGCAGACACTGTTCTGGCAGGTCTTTTTAAACAATGAAAAATGTTACTGAAGATTACAGGAACAACCCAGAAGTTGAATGGCTGCTGGGAAGAGTCAATAAACATCACCTTTGCTTGGAAATTAGGAATTTCAGTGCAAGGGTGTATCACCCTCTTACTATTTAGCTTGCTAACTTTACAAACAACATTCCATTCTGTTATGTATATTTTTGTTGAGATATTTTAGGGGGAAAGAATGCTTGTGAAAATAAAATAATTAGTCCAAAATATTCTCTACCTTTGAAATGGCTGGCACTTTGACAATTCATCTTAAGTCATAAGCACCAAAACAAAAAACTCACTGATCCTCACTGCCAGTAATTTTTCAGGAATGTAGCAACCAAAGCTGTGGTAACAACTGGAATACACCTAAAATGCAGCCTTAAAACTATCTTCTTAACATTAAATGCCTTCATATTGTTCTGGCTATGGAAAGTGCCAGAGAGCTCTCTACAGCTATTTTAAAATTTAAGCCTGATGCTGTCAGGTTCAAAGTACTTCTGGGCGACAGAAAGGAGCCTTCACATGTAAAAAGGGGAATCAACACTTGGTCCTTCTGCTTCTCACACCCGAGCAGAATGGAGCTGGTGGAGGAGGACATGCACAAGAAGAACAGAACCAACACTGCAGAACCAACACTGTAAAGAGCACACAATGCTCGGCGTGTGAAGGACAGCATGATCTCAGCACAACAAAGTTGACTTTGCATAAACATCTCCTATAGACGGCAAAACGTGGACACCCTGACACGAGAGATATTCAAATAAGCATTTTGCAATAGAGATCCTTCACCCAGGTCCCTTCCACAGTTGCTGCTATTTATGTGGTAAACCCCCTGTATATACAACACGACACTTCAAACAAAGGTTCCCGTTGATTCCTATGAGCATCATGCTTGCAGTTCAACAGTTCTCGGAGGCACTGAGCGCTAAGGTCATCGCCGAGTCCTTCACCTGCCTCACAACACCTGCTTAAAGCCCGAGACCACCTATGCAGCCCTGGGAGACCTCCATCCTGCAGGCAGCCCCAGTATCTCAAGGAACAGCTTTTACCAAACTGCATTTTGCTTATTCGCCTCCACAGCCCTCCAGTACGTCTGTCCCTTTTTATATTTTAAGCTCATCTCCATCTTCGGGGGACCAAGCAGCCAGGGAACCATATTACACCGCCACCTCCACTCCCTCCCCTTTAACACGTCTCCTAACAACGCCACGTAGATGCAGATAATCATCTGGGATGAGCACTTCAGGCAGTCCTCGGTGTTCCTGAGGGAGCACATTCCACTCACACGCCCCAGCCCCTCTCCCCCAGCCCGGCTCCGTCCGAGCCCACTCCCCCCTCACAGCACCCCGCGAGCACAAGGACCTCACTTATCTCCCAGCTCCTTTCCAGCTCTTTTTGTGTCCCCAGCGTAGCCCGGGGGCCTCCCCCGTCCCCTCAGGGCACGGAGACACCAGGGAAGAGCCGCATATTCCAGGCACGTCCCTCTCCCTCCGCGGAGGGGGATGGGAAGAGCAGCAGCGGAGCGGCACCAGCCGAGACGTCAAGCGGAGGAAAAACGAGGACAGGCGGGAACTACGCGATAGGAATCGTTCCCAACCTCCATCCCACAGCCCCGGGGCTCCCGAGGCGGGGAGAACAGGGTGGGGGAGAAGGGGCTCCCCCTCAGCGCTGCTCGGGCGGGACGCTGAGGGCGTTAACGCGCTCCCCCCGCGCCGGGGGGCGGCCCGGCACCCACCTTGAGAGTGGGGTACTCCTGCACCTTCAGAGTCATTGAGAGCTGAGCGGCTGATTCCTGCACCGCCATCTTGGATCGGGCACCGGCCGCCTCCCCCCTCCCTCCTTTCCCTCCCGCCCTCCTTCCCAGCGCGTCCCGGCGGGAGCTACCTACGGCGCGCGCGGCATGCCGGGAAACGGCGCGCGCCCCGCCCCGGCCCTCATGGACACGGGCCGAACCAACGCCGCGCGCTCCCCCCCTCTCGCCACCCCGCGCCGCCGCGGCTTGGTACGCTCCGCGGGGGCGGTGACGGAGGGAGAGCGACGGCGAGCCGGCCAATGAGCGGCTGCCTTGCCTCACGTTCCTCCGCCGTGAGTGTCGGCACCGCCCCAGGGCTCGGGGAGCCGAGCCTGAATGGGCAGCGGTGTGGGAATGGGCGGGGCCGCGGGGATGCGCGGACAAATCAAATGGGATTACGGCATCGGGATAGGCGGGATTTGGGGGGGTTATGGACACCCAGCCACTCAGGGGCGGCAGAGAGCCATTTCCTACGGCCCAATCAGAACGTGCTCTCGGGCTCAGTGGGCGAGGCCTAAAAGTAAATTTTGCTGGTGACTTCAAACGGCCGTTTTAACACCCCCGAGGTGTCCGGGAAGGAGAGGGGAGGGGCGCAGGGCGGGGCGGGATGTGATTGACAGTGCCGCCACCCAATGCTGTAGCCTCTCATGTTGACGGGCAGGCTGCTGAACCAATGGGCGGTGCGTCTGGGGCGGGCGGGCGGAGCGGCGGGCGGCGTGTGGCTGTGTGTACCTCGGGAGGGGCGGGGCCGCCCCTGTGAGTTCCGCGGGGCGGAGGGAGCGAGTGGGAGCCAGTGAGGCGGAGACGGCGGGAAGAGGTTTAAATAGCGGAGACGGCGGCAGCCCCCTGCCCGCAGCTCCCCGGGCCGGCGCCGAGTTTCCCCGGTGAGCGGAGGCGTGGGGCGGGCGCAGCTCCTGCCGCAGCCGGGCTGGTCCCGCCTGCCCCGCGGGGGACGGGGTGGGGAGGGGGGGCGGCTCCGTTCGGCCGCCGGGGGCTCTGGGGGTCCCTTCATGGGCGGCGCTGCCCTCGCGGCCGCGCCGGGGAGCGGAGCCGGCGCTACAGGTGCGGAGCTGGGGCTGCCCCGGCCGGCTCTGGGTGCGCGGGCTCCCGGCGGGATCCCGGCGGGCTGTGGATCTCCATGGCTGCGCTCAGAGGCTTTGCGTGACCCGCTGACCTCTGGCCGGTCCCTGTAAGGTGACAAGCACCGGTTTAAGCGAGCGGTAATTCCTCTGCCGGCCGTACGTGAGTGTTTCCATTAAAAAAAAAAAAAAAGAAAGAAAAGAAAAGAGACGCGATCCTGCGGAGTTTCTACTCGTGTGTGTGCGAGGGAATAAAACCGCTCTTGGAGTGTCAATCCTAATATAAAAGCTGTTTCCTGGGCAGTGTCTCGGTGTTCGGCTCCTCGCTGTGACCCGGGCACCTCAGAGTGACACAGGGCACTGGGACAGACCTTCAGCACAGCGAGCTTGCAGAGGAAGGGAAAGGTGCCCATAGCACCTGCCTGTGCAGTAAATACAAACTTCATTCGCTTGCTGAAGTCGATGTCAAAAGTTTAGTTTCTTGATGCACCGGCAGCAAATGTGCTTCAAGCAGTGTGCTGCTTGAGTTAGAAGCTTTAAAGAGACCCCAAACCCTGTACCTATCAATAACCGTGATGATTTTTATGCTCTCTAAACATTGTGGTTGTGTTTTTACTGGTCTGCAGAAGACTGAGGGGAAATAAACACCAATGCTTCCAGGAGGCGCAAACACATTTAACTTATATGGTTTGAAAGAGTGAGTATGTTCCTGAGAATATTTAGTGGTGTTATTTCCGATGCACATAGATCTCATTGCGCTGAAAGTATCTGTCCACCACAAAGGGATGGGGGTAAATAAAAGGGAATGTGGGAAGTCATGTAGGTGAGTGTTAGATTCTCTTTGGCTCTTGCCTCTTTTTACTGATATTTACTCACAGCTGCCCTAGCATTCAGCCTTGTGCTGACCATAACCAGCAAATGTATGCCTAAACATAATTTACCAAGCCCACACCAGGTGCAAAGCCTTTGTTTGAGAAGTGTGTTAGTAAAACTTTTGCGTTAGTTATGCCTGGGATTAGCATTCGTGTCCAGACACGATCTTGGGACCAGATCCTGCAAGAGGATTTTTATAAGGGGGATTTTGACTCCATTAAGGCTTTGTGCAGGGAATGGTTCACCCTGAGCTGCTTGGGTGGAGGATTGAAAACTTTGCTCAATTGTTGCTGTATTTACAAACATAATTATGTGGCATTGTAAAATATTCCTGTTCTTCCTGTCTGTCTTAAGTATCCTGTAAGCTAATATTTAGAAGGAAATTTGCTCTTCAGTATTCCCCATGATTAATGGTACTGAGCAGCTTGAACCTGGCATACCTTAACACTGTGATGCCTTTAGGGATTGAAGAAGTGTGACTTGCCATGTAATTGATCAAGTCATCTATGTATTTGTCCAAGACACTTATTTGCAACAGGTTTTGTTTACATATAATCTCTTAATAGTCCTTTCTGATAATACAGTAGCTAGTTTAATGTAACACAGATACTCTGTGGGTACAGGTTATGTGCTCAGACTGTATCTGTCTTTAAACTGGAGGGTTTTTGGTGAAGCTTTGTCAGACGTTAGTAGCCAGAGCTAAAGGGGTTGCTTGATGGAACAGATGGCCAAGCAACCATCATGTCAGAGAAAACAGCATGCATTCATGTATTCTTAGTTTAACACAAGAGGGAGCATGTCTAATCTTTAACCTTTAAATATTGCAACTTCAGGGAGAAAGCTTGAAGTGTTGAGTGTCAACTAATTTATGTTCAAGGCTCCATGTGCAAATATTGATACAACCTATGCATATTGCTGGCATGTTTTCAGCTTTGGGCTGCAGCTGTGGATTTATAGTGTAAATGTTGGCCTGATAAATGTGGAGATGAGAACTAAGCTAATGATCTTTTGATGTTGTTAAAATCTGTGGTTTCCTGCTAAATTAAACAAAATATTTATGGCAATTGTTATTCCTGGGTATGGTTATTAATATACTAAGGTTGTACTTTTTTCTTAAATATTAGGTTAATATATGTCTTCTGCTTAACCTACCATACAAACTTATAAAGCTGAGTCTTAGTTTAATTAAATTTAGTTTAATTGCCTATATACCTTTGCATTTAGAGTTCTTATAAATCCTACTACTTTATTCTTCAAGAGGAAGTATTAAGTTGGATCTACTAAGAAGTTTTGTACTGTATCTTCTTTATTTTTTTCCTTGTCCCCTGGTGTCATAAAAGGAAGATGAAAAATCAGCTTCCATTTTGTGTTTCTTGGTATTGTCCAGTTGAATCATAATGTGTTAATGTTTGTCCTCGTTCAGTGTCTTGTTAATGTGAATTAGCAATTAGTTTAACTTAAGCAGTGTGCAGAGAATACTCCAAACCTTTAGGAGAACTTCACTCATTTGTTTCCAGTAGCCTTCCAGTTTGCTCCAGATTAATGATCAGAGAAAAACATCTGCCTACCATTAAACACTGCATGCAAATGATGTATCTTTCAGGAACATAAACACTCTGTGTGTTATTTGGTGGAGCAGAGCAGAAACCTCAGTGCTCTGCTTTCATACACTGAAGAAAACTGCTGTGGATGGAGATTTTATCACACTTGCTTCTCTTTCCTCTCTGTGGCCATTATAACCCCAGTGCCAGGTGGCAGAAGTGGGTGTGTGTGTCACCATCATTTCTTGTATTTGCAGACCAGACTGGCCTGAGGCAGGAATGTGAAGGCCTGTGCTGGTTCAGGTGGGAAGGAGCACAGGTTGTCCCACTGTTAGTAGAGTTCTCTTCTTCTGAGCAGGTGGGTGTGGTGGTATTGTCCATTATCATGGATTCTCCATGTTTCTTGGCTATTCCATATCAACCAAGACTTGTGCTTTGGTTTTCTTGCCCAGCACTCTGCATGGACTTTACAATAAAGGTGTATTTTTACTTTAAAAGAAAGTAGCAATATTCCTGTACAGTTCATGGTTTGGAGGTTTTTCCCTTCATTTTGTTATTGTAACTTTAAACATAACTGAAATGTGTCAGTGTAAATGTCTTGTGTAAAAAGTTTTATTTCTGTATCTGAGTAAAAACCCAATTACCAAGAGTAAAAACCCAACAAACAAACAAAAGAAAAAGCCCCCACCACCAAAACCCTGCAATTAACAACAGCAGCAGTGATTGCCCTGATGTGTCACTGCTTAGAGTGTAGTTGTAAAGTAGTAAATACAGATCAAATGCTTTGTTTCCTAGTTTTAACATGATTATAAGGACCCTTTCCTTATCCGGGGAAAATGCAGATGCCCTCAGCAGTTTGGGTTACCAAGTTACCATAATGAATTGGGGTTGAGACCTCAGTAGAGGCTGTGCTGGGTCGTCCGTGGGAGCATTTTCATATCTTTGGTACCAATCTGGCACCTTTCAGGCCATGTGTGTGTAGAACTTAGAAATTATCCCATGTTTATGCAAACTGGGTTTCGATGTTAAGGTATGTTTTATATTGCTTTTATTAAAAAAAAAAAAAGGAGGGGGCATTCACAATGTAGGTCAAATTCTTGTGAAACCTCTTTAAAAAAAAGACTTGTATTTGCATAAAAAAGGCATGTGGGACTGCCTGAGAAGTGCACAGAGTCCTGTAACTTTCTGAATGGTCTAAATGGGTGATTTAAAATGCAAAGGGAAGGGGGTTTACCTGCAATATTTTTGGCCGTAAGCATTTTTTCTTTTTATTTTTTTCCTTTCTGAATTACAGCCCCCTGAAAATGGGGGGTTTAGAAAGAAAGTGCTGACACAGCCTTGACTACAGAGCAGTGCCCTGCTTGCTGCTGCAATAATTGTCCAGGCAGTGTTTTCTGCTTCCCTGCCATTTTGCTTTACATTCCTCCAACCCATTCCATTTTTAACTTTCCGAAAGTTTGGTATTATTGCGAGCCCCCGGCGTGTGTGCAGCCGCCGGAGGAGCGAGGTTGGCAGAGTAGCATGGACTTGTTAATCTCAGCCTGATCTTGTCAGCAACAGCAGAGCAGAGGGAGCGAGAGACACACACAACTCCGGCTGGGGCAGCGCTCCAAAGGTTCGTCTCTTGTTTTTTATCCTAAATCGCGTTTCCCTGGGCAAGTGCCGGCTGCGCGGGGCTGCGCGGCGGGGCCGGGGCTCGGCCGCGGTGTTTGTGAGCCGGGGAGGCTCCGGCTCCGAGCCGGCCACCGTGTGTCTGTGTGTCTGTCTGTGTGTCTGTCTGTGTGTGTGTGTGTGTGTGCTACGGCCGCGGAGCCGCCGAAGGAGAGGAAACCCTGTTGGTTCTCCATGCAAATGACCGCTTTGCTTGTAACAAAAGCCTTGATGTTGGGCTTGGAAAAATGATCTGACAGTGTAACAACCCCAGGCCACTTTCGCCATGTTTTTGTTTATTCATGTTTCATTCCGTTTTCCGTAGCTATCTCGCAGATGTTTCCAATTTCACTGTTTGTTGTTGGCTTGTTTTCTTTTTTTTTTTTTTCTCCTCTCTCTCTTTTTTACACCGTCGAGCCTTTTTGGAGTTAGCAAGAAAACGTGTGAAAGAATGTTAAGAAAACAGAGAGGTGTTGCAGATGTTTATACTTTAGTTCTTGCGTTGCGCCTGGTGATTCTGGCAGAGGGATTCGGTGCATATGAAGGAACGTAAGAAGCATCTGTTTTACCTACCGAGCTGGTGGTTTCGAAATGTGCCCATTGTAACTTGAATATTTACATAAACAGATGAAGTGAGCACGTTCCCGGTGCAGTGTGGCAGGTCGAGATTCTCATTTGTTTGCTACTGTTTTTGAAAGGGGGAGGAAGGGGGGGAGAATCCAAAAGAGCAAGGAAAGGAAT